TGGCGCAGGCCTTGGTCTCCCCACGTGTCCGTGGGGGGGAGGACGCGGGGCCCCAAAGGCCACGACCGAGGTCCCCGGGTCCTGAGGCCTCCTGGTGCCAAACCCGGACACAAGCCTAAGTTCACGCAGCTCGTGCTGCCCGACGCCTTCCGGGCCACGGTCGTCCGAGCCCTTAAGGACTGGGAGCGTAGGGGGCGGGTGAAGGCCGGTGGGCCGCCTTTCCAAGCACACAGGGCCCGTGCAAGCCCCGCGGTTCAGTCAGACCTCCTGGTTTTTGTTGTCTGGGGAACCTGTCAGCAGTGTTCTAGCCACTTCTGGGTGAAAAGGGAGGTGGGAGAGGTTGGGGGCGAGAGCGTGCATTTTCGCCCAGGCGCGAAGGGGGCCGGCGGGCTGGGACTGACAGCAGGCGCCTCAGTTCCCTTGTTAACCAGGGCGGGAGGACAGCCGCGGGACAGCTGACCGCTCAATTCCCTGCAAACACGGATTCCCCCAGGGCTCTTGAGCGAGTGTGACCGGTGCCATCACCCTTCGTGGCTGTGCTTCCTCCTTTCCTACGCAAGCGGCCCCAGCCCACTTGGCTACCCTGCCCACCCCTGGGAGTCCCTACTTCCTAACCGCCCCTGTCTCAGGACAGCACCCAGTTCCTTGTTAGCTGGCTTCTCCTAACCGCCCCCTCCGGGGCGCCAGTAACACGCCCTGAAGGGACCCAGGCCTCCCCTGGGGTGTCCTCCGTGTCCTCAGCGGGACTCAGACCTCCTGTGCAGACCCCTGCCCCCCTGCCGGGCAGCATTCCAAGGTCTCCCCCACCCCCCCCTACTCCCCGGGCCCTGCCCAGACTGCATCAGGTCCCATCAGAGCTCATCTAGCCCACGGACCATGTCTGCACGTCTCTGGCTGATCCGGCTTTAAAAGTTGGGGTCCCATCTCCAAAGGCTACGCCGTCTGATTTGGTGTTGAAACTAGGAAAACCCGGTGAAAACTTGCAAGCAGTGAACTCACAGACTCAGTCTGGGCTTTCAAAGACACCTCTGGAAGTATTCAGGGCTGTGTATCAGAGGTATAAAGATTGGAATCGGGAGGCACACCAGGAAATTGTTATCCTCGTCAGAATGAGATTCGTCATGCCTGCTGAGCCTCAGGGGTTCAGATGAGACAGGCTGAATGTGGGAGCTACAAAAGACACTGATGCAACGGGAGGTTTTCAGGCTCTCGTGTGGGGACGTGGGGCGGTGAGCAAGACCCAGATTTCCTGGGGGTGGCTGATGGTGATGTCACGCGAGGAACTGGAAAGCACAGGGGGACGTCCGGTTGGGGGAAATTTTAGTTCCGCTCAGCACACGCTGGGATCGCACGTATCGGGGACACATAAACTCTGGAGCACGTAGTTTGTCTTCGCCGGTGTGGAGCCAGACAACCAAATCCGGACTGCCACTTCAGATTCTGTATTCTGATTCTCAGGATCGCATCCGAAGCCACATAGAATGACCCGCCGAGAGCGCTCACGGGGAAAGGAATAGAGTTCTTTGGACAGAAATCTGCTCTGTCACATACACCGTGACTGTCCTCTGTGCACCGGAGGAGCCCTTTGATGTGCATTTTTCTTCGCAGATCCACCTGGGCCCACAGCTTTCTTCGAAAGGCTCTTGCTGGATTCAAATTTCTCTGCCCTTGAAGCAAAAACATGGTTTTGAACACTATCCGGGCAACAATTTTTCTCTTTCTCACCGGACCCGGCATCGTGGGGAACATCTCTGTGTTTGTGAAGTATACGTGCGCTTTCTTTTCGGGCACTGCGACGAAATCTGTACACCTTCTTAGCATCCACTTGGTTTTTACAAATACCGTGATACTTTTGTCCAAGGTAACGCTGAAAACAATAGCGATGTTTGGTGTGAGAAACGTCCTGGGTGACATGGGCTGTAAAGCGTTTGTGTTTCTGGAGAGGGTGGCCCGGGGCCTTTCGATCTCCACCAGCAGCTTCCTGGCCGTGGTCCAGGCCACCACCATCAGCCCCAGAGCCCCCCGTGCCCGCCGGCTTCAAGCCAGCATCCGCACGGCACATCCTTCCCTTCTGCCTCTTCTTCTGGGTCCT